AATCATATCAGTTTTTATCCTTACCCCAAAGGGTTCAGCTTTTTGCTTCACATTTTCTCTAGGGAGTGGAGCGGGATAACCGCAGGCAGTTGGCAGATCAATAAATCATTCAGCTGAATCTAGCCGAGGTCACGAGCAACCCCGGAATCCAACTCATGCTTCCCCCATCTTCCCTTCCTTCCCTTCCCTTTCCTAGTCCCCGTCTATCGATCCCAGAAGCATCTCACAATGTCTATTTAAAAACACATGTGTTTTAGGCCTTTTTGAAGGACATTTGATGCATTATGGAACCTAGCTCCGCACGCGACCCTGACGGGCACGCCCAGGTCCACCCCGTGGTTCGCGAAGCTCTCCGCATTTCACTCAGCGCCAAGGAATACAAGATCCTCCATGACCATGCTGTTCGGCGCGCCCCCGTGAAGGCCCAGTCTAAATTGCCCTCTCCATCAAGATATGAAGCCATAGTGCGCTCAAAAAACAAATACAATGAGGCAGCTCTCCGCGCCTCTCTTCGAGTATTCCTTATATCAGGAGCTTTATTGAAATTCGTTGATTGGGCACTTGCAAGAATCCGAGGGGATCTGTCCAAGTAAGCTCTCAGTCCAATTAAGAATCAAATCAAGCGGACATCAAATGTACCTTGGCTGACACTCGCGTCTCACCTCTCTGCCTGAAACTATAGGAAGAAAACACAAACTTCTTTCCTCCGCTCCCCCAACTTCCGCTTGTCAGCGTCCCTTTCGCTCGTCCTTCTCTTCCACAGACTTCTGCATCGCTTCTTCGCCCGGCTACGCGCGAACCTCCGCACAGATGAAGCCCAGCCCTTCCGTAATCGGAACCCTCGAGTGTCAAAAGCGTTGACATCACGCTATGCGCCCGCTGTTGGGGCTAGTCTGGCCCTTTTTGGCCTGGGCATATGCCCTCAGAACCAGCTGCGACTGACAGCCGCAATCTGGATGGCTACCCGGAGCTTGGAGTTCCTTTTCAACGTCATCGATGAGAAAGGATGGCTTGAGAATCGGCCTGTGTGGTTTGGAAGCTGGTTGCTGATGCCCCTGTCCTGCGCGCAGTTATTCCATGCGTTCATCTTCGATCGGGAGGCGACACCTAAGGTTTGCTTGGTCCATATATGAGAAAAATCGTTGGATTTACATACTGATTGGGCACAGTGGCTCGGAAATGTCATCTTCAGGCTCTCTCCAGGCTACATCCTCGATCGCCCTGAAAGTTTGCCTACAGAGTTTTCTTGGCCGGGAAAGGAGGATGTGGTTGACTCGCTCGCAACTGTCGCTAATTTGCGCTGGCCGTATGTTTATACTCGCTATTTACACCTAGTATATGGCCGCTTCTTTTCTAATATTTCAATCAGCGCATTCGTCTCGCCGATATTGCATCCCGGAGACCTTAATACCCTACCGTCTGCTGTCAAGTCTATTTCACCAATTACCGGACCTGCTCATCCGTCTATTTCAAGCCTGTCTTGCGCATTGCTCCATTCGAGCAGCCCCAGCTGTAGTACGGCTTTTTTGCACAATATTCTCCTCTCGATCCCTCGTCTGGCCCGGCTTGTGACAACCGTTACCTTGGCGCTCTCTGTGCTCAAGTTCAAGAAGCTGATGGCCAATCCTATCACCTCGATCAATAATCTTTCGAAGAAAATCATCACAGTGACTGCTGTCCTCTCTGCGTCTGTTGGCTCCGCGTGGGGCAGCATTTGTCTCTGGAACTCACTTTTCCCGCGCTCTGTCCTGCCTACCAAACGCTTCTTCCTGAGCGGTGCAGTTGCGGGTATGCCATTTGCGTTCCTTGCGAATAGCCGGAGCGTTTTCACGTACTTTTTCCGAGCCGCCGTGGATTCGGCATGGAAGACGGGCACCAAGCGGGGGCTCTGGAAGGGATGGAAGGGCGGGGACCTGTTCATCCTTGTACTTTCCTGGGCACTGATCAACTCCATCTTGGAGAGCAGACCGAATGCGGTTCAAGGCCGGGGGGTGCGGAAGGCTCTAGCATGGATGAAGGGTGAAGGTTTTGTGGACCCGGTTGATGTTGCGGCAAAGAGGAAGCTGAAGAAAGCCAAGAAGGCTGAGACTGAGCACTAATTGGCAATGGGCGTGATTTACGCATTCTCTGTTATGTCTTTACAACGGTCCCTGTTATGCACGTTGCTCCTGCCTTTTGTCCCTATTCACAAGCAAAGTACATAACGATTCACTGACTCCATTTTGTTGATACCACGCCATATTAAGTATATATTTCGATGTATTTGAGAACCTAATTTGCTAGGAGCGGAATTCAAGCTACTATGGCTCAGTATGATAGAGTGGACATGGTGAAGAGGTAAAGAAAAAAAAAAAAACAAAAGAAAAAGAAAGCTTCCGGTGCGGGGAATCGAACCCCGATCTCCTGTGTGAAAGACAGGTATGATAGCCGTTACACTACACCGGATGTTATTATGAATAGTTAATATTCTTTAATTTATAGGCAACAAAAGATAGAATGGCTGTAAGAAAATCCTCAGATATCAGGGATATTGTGGAGATAGTGTTGGTTTCTTACCCCAAGTTTCCCCAGCCTTTCAATCCCCACCACCCAAACCACCGGTATAGGAACAGTGGTCGCTGTACCTTTCTTTTCAGCCCTGATCCATGGTTTCTCTCTTTTCCCACATTCTCCATCACTAAGGACAAACAATCGGATTTCGTCCTGTGGGGTTCTCCTCACGATGGAGCCCCAGGAACTCCTTTTCCGACCAGTGCTACAAGTCTGGATTCCGGGGTAGCAACCATGATGGGGAACTAAACGGGGCAATTGGCTTTTCATGCTCCAGTCGTTGACCTGGCTAGCTCCAGCTTCCCCTCCTCGCCCATACTACTGGATGCTCTCCCCTTTCATGTTTGCCAATTAGTCGTCGGCTTCTCCCTTTGTGAATCCCGAGTGCCAGGGAAACAAGCAGACCGACATTGCCTCCAACCCGCCACGATTTCCGACCGGCCGCATAAATTCTCACCGTCTCCTCCGAAAGCTACCTCCCGATAGCTACTCTTTCCATCTTTCCAGCCTTTCCAATACTCGTATCTCCTACCCTTTCTTCTATCACCTTCTCATTTTCACCATGGCTGCTACGAAGCTTAAAATTGGCTGTGCTGGCCTCGGTCGCATGGGCAAGCGCCATGCCCTCAATTTCCTCCAGCGCACTCCCCGTGCCGAGCTGGTCGCTGCTAGCTCCCCTGACGATGCTGAGCTTGAATGGGCTAAGGTTCATCTGGAGCCATATGGCGTGAAGTTGTACAAGAATTACGATGACATGCTCCGCCACGAAGGTCTGGAAGCCGTGGTCGTTGCATCGGCCACCGCCGTTCATGCCGAACAAGCCATCAAGGCCATTGATGCTGAAAAGCACGTTCTGTGCGAAAAGCCTTTGTCAACCAGTGTCGAGATTGTATGTAACCCCTATTGTTTTTGCTCTTTTTCCCATCGACCTAGTAGCCAGGGTATTAACAATCCTTGTTCTAGTCCCAATCCGTCCTTGACGCTGCTGCCAAGAAGCCTCATCTGAAGGTGATGTGCGGATTCTCCCGTCGCTTCGACGCCTCATACCGGGATGCATACAGCAAGATGAGTGCCGGCTCCATTGGCTCGCCGTCCGTTATGCGTAGTCAGACCTGTGACAAGCTGGACCCCAGTGGGTTCTTTGTCGCCTATGCCCAGTTCTCCGGTGGTATTTTCGTTGACTGCTCGATCCACGATATCGACCTTGCCCTCTGGTTCTTCGGTCAAGACAGCAAAGTCAAGTCTGTATCCGCTGTCGGTATCACGGCCGTTGAGCCGGACCTGCGCAAGCACAACGACCGCGACAATGCCGTCGGCTTGGTCGAGTTCCACAACGGCAAGATCGCCTACTTCTACGCTTCTCGCATGATGGCCGCTGGTCAAGAAGATACTACCGAAATTATCGGCACCCAGGGCAAGCTGGCCGTCAACGCACAGCCAGCCCTAAACCTCGTCAACATCTACGACAGCACTGGAATCCGTCGGGAGATTCCTCAGCACTACTACGACCGCTTCGAATATGCCTTCGTGACCGAGGCCAACGAGTTCACCGCTTGCTGCCTCGAGAACACTCCTGTTCCACTCAGACTCGACGGTGCCGTCCAGGCCGTCCGCATTGGAGCTGCGCTCCAGGAGTCGCTTATCACCGGCGAAAAGATCTTCTTCGATGAAGAGGGTAACCGGGTGGACAAGTCTCGGCTATAGATGTATGCTTAACGACTTAATTTAGATTACGTCACTTAATGATTTTCAAATAAAGAGCAATTTTGGATTATAGAAAGGCAAGAAATTAGGCTTCATATCTCTAGAAATCCTAAGTGATCCCCATTCAACAGTAGATTAAATTGTAGAACGTCCTCCATAACCTCACCTTAGAATATACCCAGAACCCCTCCTTCCCCTCCCAGATCCCGAAAAATTATATAATAAGAACCATTGCACGTGTACTAGATACACTAGTTTAAGCAGTCTTTCCCCAAAAGAGCCACGGGCACAGTCCACAGTTTAATTTTTTCACAATGTGACCCGTCCCGAGACACCGATTTGTCGAACGTGGGTAGATCGCCGACGTACCCCGGGAACCCGTTTCCGAGGGCATGGTTTGCCGCCAAGAATTCGCGCTGCGTTATTGTATCATAGATACGCTATTGTTAGTAAGGGGTCTGATAGTTGGTGCTTGTGGCAAGGGAACTACTTGTAGACTTGAGTGGAATTTTTTGGTTTTGAGAGGTGTATATATGTAAAAATTTTGTAATACGGTGAAAGTAAGCTTATTTTAGATCTTGATCTGGGTTCTTGGGAAAAGGGTATTTTTGAATGAATTGGTCCCTAATTAATTTTACAGGGCTGTATAATTCATTGCTGGTTCGTGAATCATCGCTTTAAAAATGCAAGAACAAAACTGATATATCGGAAACAAGAAAAAAAAAACCAGGGCGTTCTAATATCAAGACAATCCGAGCGCTGGGACCACATTTACCACTTGATGACCTTGTTGGGGAAGAATTCGTCGATGAGTTCCAGGTAGTATGGCTGCGATGGGGGTTAGCTGATACTCATTGTATTGAAGAAAGGGTAGTGAGAAAGGACGTACCTTGAGCTCGTCGACGGTGGGAACGTCGTCGCTCTTGCTGTACAGGTCGTAGGGGTTGAAGGCCTTGACGGCCTTGAGCATCTCCTTATCGTGGTCGTTCATCAGCTCCTGGTATGCGCCGGCATTGTGCCAGGGGTAGAAGGAGTGGTAGCGGATGATAGCCAGGGCCTCGTCAGGGAGAGTGGACTGGTCCTTGACAACGTGGTAGAGGTACTCGTCATGACCCCAGGAGAGCATGACCTTGTCCAGGCCACAACCGGGGCTGTAGATACCGTACTTGGTGCTGTAGACCTCGTGGCCATAGTCAGGGTTCTCCTTGAAGGACTCGGTGCCGTAGATGATGCGGTCATCGAAAGCGAGGCCGACGGGGAAGGTGTCGCCGACGACATCCCACTGGCCTTGGGCGTCGAAGAAGTAGAGCAGCTTGCCCAGGTCGTGGATGAGACCGGTGAGCTGCATCCAGCGGGGCTTGCCATCGCGGCGGATGGCCTCAGCGGACTGAAGAAGGTGTTCGATCTGAGAGAGGCTGGTGTCGGGGTCGGACTCGTCAATGAGGGTGTTGAGCTTCTCCATGGCCTCCCAGATGGTCATCTCGGCGCGGGTCTTGGAGTGGAAGGCGTGACGGGCCTTCAGGTTGTAAGCGACAGTCTGCTTGGTGTGCTGCTCCTTGTAGAAGTTCTTGACACGGTCGCAGGCATCCTCGTATTGACGGAACTTGGTTTTGTCCTTGTTCTTGTCAAATTCAGACTCGGCGTAGATGTCCTTGTCTTCTTGCTTGATGTTCTGCTTGAGGACGTTGACGGTGTCGATGGCGTCGGAGGTCTCCTCGAGAGCCTGTCCATCCCGCTTGGTGTTGAACACCGGGGTCTCTGGGGCAACAGCAACTGGGGCCATTGTGAATGAAAGAAATGAGTTCGATGTTTGATGTTCCTGTTTCTCTTGAATATATTGGATCAAGGCTGATCTGGGTATCAAAGGATGCTGCTGGAGAGAGAAGAAAACCCAGGAAGACCCAGACGTATATATAAAGGGCACTATAGGGAGATCCTCGTGATCTACGAGAAATTCAGTATCCGACTAAAGCCCCAGCCGAATAAGCCCTAACACGCTACACCCCAGAATCCGACAGTGTGGTGGCGCCATTGTGATGTCCTCGTTGTGTGAAGATCGGATTCTGGCTTCCGCACTATGAAGATAGATTCTGGAAATGTTCTCCACAGCTGCATGACGCGGGGGGGAAATCTGAGGTACGGATCTGCAGCCAACCAGAGACCAGTTGTTGCGCTGTCTTGACTGTGGGGATGGTAGAGGCACTCAAGGATTTTGGTTTCCGAAGGCCGAGAACTTTGGCCGCCGGGGCAGATTTCTCTTCTGGTATGCCACCTTGACCCTCGATTTGCCCTTTCTGTCGCTCCTGATGTCACAGCATTTCCCCTTGAAGCCATAAATGATAATCAACGTCATGCGCAATGGCCAGTGCTCGCTGACCCCAACGTTGATCTGCCGGTTTAGACAACTAGGTTTCACCACAGAGGGTAAGAGCCATCGGATTTCTAATGAGGTCGTGTGGACTGGAGCATGGACAGTCCGATTATCTTCACATAGAATTGTTCAGATCGGGTATAGGGTATTGGCTCGTCTGGAAAGAGAAATGGTTTCCGATGGTTGCATATGCATGGCCATCCTGGCTCCGTATGACGCTGTCCGATCGATTTTAATCTGTTCGCTGTAGTGAGTAGATGAGATAGACAATCGAGATAATTCACTGAAGAAAATGAAGATTTTAATGCCTTGAGAATGATAGCTACTTACCAGGATGAAGCGAAGAAAGGTATAGAATTGAACGGCTCGCGTGAAGATGACCCGACAGAGCGATGTGATTGATGGAACTTCGGGGACAAATTCCACTGGCCGGGGCAATTGACGGCGCGAGCCCCGAAGTATTTGTTGATAATCTCTGGTTGCCCCTCTACCCCTCACCCCTCGTCCTTCGTATTTGTTTCGCCTTTTTCCCTCAAGTCAATTCACATTTGTACTCATTCCTCTGAATTCCCTAGGATCTATACCGAATCTTTATCCAATTACACACATACTACTGCACAATGGCCGTTGCCGACACTCGATTCAAGCTCAACACTGGAGCAGAGATCCCTGCCTTGGGTCTCGGTATGTAGTTATTCCAATTCGAAAAATTGCAGCAATGGTCGTGCTGATTGCATAGGTACCTGGCAATCCGCCCCCGGTGAGGTTGAGAAGGCTGTCAGCCACGCCATCTCGGTGGGATACAGACACATCGACGGCGCTTTCTGCTACCAAAACGAAGAGGAAGTCGGAAAGGGAATTAAGGATGCCCTGGCCTCTGGAAAGGTGAAGCGGGAGGACCTCTTTGTTACCACCAAGCTGTGGTGCACTTACCACAGCCGGGTGCAAGAGGCTCTGGACCTGAGTTTGAAGAACTTGGGCTTGGACTACATCGATCTGTACTTGATGCACTGGCCATTGGCCATGAACCCCAATGGTGAGCCATGCTCCCTTTTCCAGTCAATATGTTGCTCCAGGTCTAACCATTTATTAGGAAACCACCCTCTCTTCCCTAAGCATGAAGATGGTTCTCGAGACATTGTCCAATCGCACTCTCACGTCCAAACATGGAAGAACATGGAGAAGCTTCTCTCGACCGGAAAGGTCAAGGCCATCGGTGTCTCTAACTACAGCGTGCGTTATCTGGAGCAATTGCTTCCTGAGGCTACCGTTGTCCCTGCAGTCAACCAAATTGAGAACCACCCCTCTCTCCCACAGCAGGAGATCGTCGACTTTTGCAAGAAGAAGGGTATCCACATCACCGCCTACAGCCCTCTGGGAAGCACTGGCAGTCCACTGTTCACAGCCGAGCCTATTGTAGAGGTTGCAAAGAGGAAGGGAGTTAGCCCCGCCACGGTTCTTCTCAGTTGGCACGGTATGTTACAATCAGCCACCCCCCTTCACCCTCCCCAGCATTCTCGCCTTTTATGCTCGATAATGATTTTCTGACCATATAATGTAGTTGCCCGTGGATCCTCTGTTCTCGCCAAGTCCGTCACACCTTCTCGTATTGAAGACAACCGCAACTTGGTTCAGCTCGACGAGAATGACATGGCCACCATTGCCAAATACACCGACGATCTCGCTGCCAAAAAAGCCTTCCAGCGCTTCGTCTACCCTCCCTTTGGTGTTGACTTCGGTTTCCCCGACAAGTCATAAACTGTCACCAACTCTAGTCTCTACCTACCAAGCATCTCCTAGTACATATGACCACCGGATGCGGAAAGCAGGGCTTTCCATTCGCTCTGCCATGCCTCCCACTATCGTGAATGGACAGGGCGAAATCTCAGTGAACCAGTAGGCCCATAACTACCTTATGGAAAGGTGTTGTGCGCCCTTCAGGGTGAGTGTAGAAGATTTGAGTGTGTCTTGTATAACAGCCTGGGGAGCCTGGATAAGTAGTTTTGATTCTTTATATTTGTTTATAGATAGACGACATATATCCCTCACGAATGATGTTTCAGGAAGCTTCTCTCTTGCTAGTAACACTTTTCAAGGCATAGGTTAACTATGATTGGCTTCGAAATTTCCCAGTACTATAGTAGACCCATTAATAGCTGTGGACCGAAGTGACTCGAGTGCCTTGCCCCTGTAGTATATCCTGGCTTTTATTATACGCTTTCAGAACGGTTAGAAGCACCAATCTCATGTCTGACTTTTCCGATTTTTTGAGTTAGCTATGTAGAGAAAATTTAATCTTGTATTTAACTCTTTTACATTCTTGCTCGATAATTCAAGAGAGTTTCAATGTTAGTCTTACGTAGTTTACTAGCCATAGGTATCTTGAGCTAATACTTCTATTTAATGACAACTCCGTATAATATATACAGTATAGAATTTTAATAATTAGTACATTATGCTGCATTACTTTCAGCCTACCAGTTGTTGAAGAATAACAGCTCTGATAATAACTTCACGTAGGCCGACTATGATTAGGAACATCTTCCAACATCAATATCATGTTGCCAATTAAATAACATGTAAATAAAGCAAAGATAAATACAATGGACTTACAAGGCAACTCTCAGTCACTCAGTCTTTTTTGTATATTTCTAGAAGTACCAGAGAGTTGGTGGCTCCTCTGCTATTGTTAGTACATACATAAAACAAAGAAAGCGTTCAGGTGACAGAAGCACAGATCTAAAACTTCAAAATTCATGTAAAAACAGATTAGGTTACCGCCTGTAGAGCCACGTGAGTATTCTGCCTATATTCTCTTTCAAATTGTGTTTCTCTTTGTTTCATGTCTGTCATCTTGTCAACCACCCGGCCGCCACCTTGATCATCATCCTGTGCATCAAAGTGCACACATCTCTTGATCGAGTTCATCTAAACACAGTTAGCTTGGGTGGGTGGGGGGCCTCATGTAGGAGAATGTAGTATTCTCTTACCTCTTACGCTTGTGCTTCTTATGTTTCTTGACCACACGTTTGACTCTGGGCGTCGCGACTGTCTCTTCCACAACAGCCAGACCAATCCACTCTCTGTTGAGAGTAATAGCTGGGCCCTGTTCTTCGCTAACAGCGACTATCTCTTTATATCCCAGCTCTCGAATCTGATCGGTAGCACTCAGCTCGTCTTTGACACCCTGTTTCGCAAGGGCTCGAACGGCTTGCAGGCGCCGTGTCTCGCGCTCTGCTACTACCGCCTGGGCGAGGTCACTCGATAAGATATTCCGCGCGTTCATAATCCCAAAAGTCTCTTCTAGTTGCTTGTACGGAAGGTAGATCAACATCGCAGAGGGCACCTCAATCTCTCGGTTCGGGGTTTCTCCCCGGCGAGACGCAAAAGATCGAGGACTAGTGATCACTGGACCTGGAACATCATACAGGCTTTCTGGGATTCGATTTGGCAGAGTCTTACTCTGCGCCTTGGTGTACAGTGTGAAGTCCTTGCTCATGTGCCTGGTGATGAAATGCAGGGCCGAACCAACTAGCCGTGGAGCCCATCTTTGCAGCTCTCCTGCTGCATCATAATCTCCAGTCTTGTTGACTGGAGCAGTCTGGTCGAGGGTTACTGCCGGCCTCGTCGTGCAAACTCCGAAATAGAGAATGCATTCGACTGTTTCCCAGTCGATTAGCTCAATGGCTAGTCTGATACCCGTTTCAATGACTGCCTCTTGTTGAAAGAAGGCCCCTGATGCGGCATAGCACAGGGCGAAGTCTGCCATGGCCGCCGTGAGTGAGAATTGTATTTTTCCCACATTGTTCTCCGAGTATCCATAGGTGGACAGAGTCGCCAATCTGAGCTGTCCTGCTGTTAGGAGTGGCCTCCCATACAAGTGTTGCAGCGCATATTCAAAGCCTTTGATCATACAGAAGTTCTCATTTCCAACGGCGACGATCTCGTTAGTTCGCTCTTCCTGGGTCGGCGATCTGAAGACCTCGGCCATGAAATTGCTACGGCTGATCACCGCTCTATGTGTTCTGAAGACGATGGGCATGAAGATATCTTTGGAGGATCTCAATATTATCTGAGAGTCGGAAAACTCGCTCGCTTCTAGACAGTGAAGAAGGTGCTCAAAGAGTGGATCAATTCTATCGGGAAGTATTTCAGTCGCGATGGTATGATGTTCGGATGAAGCTATAGGAGACGCATGATTAGTGCTGAAACGATGAGATGATTGAATTAATGGGACAATATCACCTTTACTACTGCCCACACCAACATCGACTACATTCTTTTCCTCAATCTCTTGCTCTGAGGTTTGTCTATAGCCATCTTGTGGTACCCTTGAGGCATATTCGTCGACATGGGAAGGCCCAGAGGGAAAGACACAATTACAGCAATCTCCCGAGTGATGAGCGCAGCAACAAGACCGCCTGGGTGGACAGCTGCAGTCGGTAGTGGGTTTATGCACACAACAGCTGGAGTTAAACTGACAAATATTCCGACCGTGCAAGTGACATATGATAGGGTTGTTTTCATCATAAATCGAACAAGACTCATTCTGCTCCTCAGGTTCTTCCGCCTTCTGGCTTGAGGGACGAACTGTATGACTCGAGGACGTGTCTGCACTGGAAGTCTCAAGAGGAATACCGGAAAGGCCGTTATAACTGGGTGGAGCTTCATCGACAACAGATTGAGAGCTCGTTGTCGCGGTGATAGAGGACGGATGTTGCGTGTTGCCGATATTGACCTCACCGCTATCCAGAGATGGAGGCAGATCAATGGTCTCACCTTGTTTTGCTTCCTCTTTCCTCCTTTTCTTCTCTTCTTTCAATAGCTTCTTCTTCAACCTTCTCTTCTCTTTCTTTCGATCTTGTTGGGCCTTCTGTTGTTCAGAAGAATCATCCACTTGTGTCTCCGCCGCCTTGAACGCAGGCCCCGACGAGCTAGGTCTACAAATAGAGCGCAGATCCTCGGAGCTAAGACCTACGCGCATGATTTCAAAGACGGAATCAAAAGACATGACAACAGACGGCAACTCGGAGGTGCAAAAGGAGCTTCTTCTCTCCGGGTCCGTCATATTCTTCGTCAGCTTCAATATCTAATCACAGCACCAAGAAAGGCAAGAGAAAGATGAGTCTTGATATCCGCTCGATAAATCCTGGTGAGATTGTGAAGGAAGTTCAGAGATGAGATGATGTGAATATGGATGGATTAATGTATGGAGGGACGATACAAAAGGGAGGGGCGACTTGTGTTGTTTGTCCACTCCAGTTTTCCTTTCCATGCGTTTCCTTGACGATTATGTTGTTTTTCTTTCAGAATGTACAACTGTTGGAGAATTTTCTGAGCAGCTCTTGTTAATTACAGTTTATTGACTATATTTGAGATGATATCTTAGAGCTAGTTTCTGAATTATTTACACACTAGTGAATTTCTTTATAAACTGTATGATATATTCTCATGGTAAATCCAGAGCTCAGAGATCTGTAGTATATGTATACAGTCATATATACAAACATCAATACCGCTTTAACATCACACCCCATATCAGAAACAGTATAAGGGCTTCACACTCCACGTGATGGGTGGTATACACGTGACATGTCTTTAATACCAACCACAATATTCAGTGAATGATAGTAAAGAGTACAAATGTAATACCATAGCCAGCCCTTTCTTTGTTTAAAAAGTGAATGTGCAATACCATGTTCCACACATTCACTGGTTTGATAAGAACAAAGAAAATACCCCTCAGTAATTGGGCATTCAATGATAGTCTCCAAAGCTGCGCTAGGCATTACAAATCTATCTCACACGAAAAAGGATAGCCAAACTGGCTAGTGCTCTATCTAGGGAGACAAGGTATTGTACATTTAGATCATTTTTATTGACCTATCTAGATATTTTGTAATAATGCATAGAAGGTAAGGAAATGCTATGGTAGAAAGAAAGAATATGGCTCAGATATCAAAGTCAAATGAAAGACAGGCCTGTCCGCTCAACAAAACGCAGTTGGTATATCATCATGAGCAAAAGTGGTAATCAAAAGAAGGTATCGAGGTTTGACATAAATGAAAAAGGAAAATGATCGGAAAAGTCGACTAATACATGTAACCCGGGGGGGCGGGGGCAAGGAAGATATTTTGGTGGAAGTAGGAAAGTAGTAAGACGAAAGAGAGAGTGAGAGAGAGAGAGAGAGAGATAGAAGAATTCAGCCGTCATGTGACTATTGTTTAGAACATGCCACCATCCATGGGGACTTGAGGTGGTGGATAAGCTGGCATAGCTGGTGGCGGGCCAGTCATAAGTTGATGTCTCGCTTTGGCGTTCAGATCTCCGCCTTCGCTAGACGTTTTGCGCAGCCTGTTTCGTGTCCTGGGCCGTCTTTCACCCTCGTCGGAAAATGTGCTATACTCTTCCACAACACTACCGGCTGTCGATGGGGCTGCCGAAGGAGCGTACTGAGAGGGGGCGTACTGAGACGGGACGTATTGCGACTCGTACTTATCGCCCCTGATCGCACCAAGGATGGTTTGGGTGGTGGTTTGGCGGCGACGGCGTGGGTTCATGGGAGGAACAGGAGGTGTTGACATGCCATTGCTCAAGCTCGCTCCAGGTGGAAGACCGACAGTTGGAACGTTCGAGGTGGTGGACACGAAAGTGGGCTCGGAAATTTGATATTTATCGATGGGTCGCTTCTGGAGGCCACCGTTATGCCCAGGAGCCCGCTGAGGGAGGCTGGTTGTCGAAAGCGATGCCGAGCTAGAAGATGGATCAGGGGAGATCTCGTACAATGGCGGGGTAGCATTGGCAGAGTAAGGGGCAATGGGTGAAGGTCGCGGCGGGGCACCAATCATCTGTGGGTTAAGCGCAGGCGGATGGAGTGGCCTTTCGACAAAGCTTGGTGTTCCAGATCGACTGCCGCTGCGATACCTTCCAGATGCGGCAGATGAGCACCGATCGTACATATTTGTATCATTGACCTCCACAGATTGGCGGGCGGAAGAAGCCACAGATGTCAAGCCGCGCTGGTCGAAGTCTGGGAACGCGGAGTGTTCATATGGATCAGACTCCTCTACAGTCCCGAGATCATCCCTCTCCCGCCGAGTGCGACTCTTAGAGCGACCAGAAGCGTCGGAGGTGGAGCGATCCCGCCTGGACCCAAAACTTGAATGCGGTGATGCTCCACGGCTACGACTCGACTCACGGGAGTCTTCTTGGCTGCTGCGGCCAAACATGCGAGACCGTATGGAACGCTCTGAAGAGACATGGGGAGAGCTTGAGTTGGAGTGCTTTCCAAAGCTGAACGATGGCCTTTCTTCCTCCTCGCGCCATTGATCATCCATTCCCAATGCTGGAGTAGAAGCGTTACCCAGGCCGAGCAACTTCGGGTTTCTCTGGTCCTGTCTGCCAAACAAACTGTGCTTTCCAGACTTACTCTTCAGCAGGGAAAATGCATTTCCGGGCTTGGCTTGTGTATAATCAGGGGTCTGGCGGCCTGAGACAGGGCTAGCTGATCTGCTTTCATTCTCGGCCATGCCCTTCAGCTTCTCCTGCACCTTTCTCCGTCTCTCTGCCAGCTCGATCTCGAACTCTTCGCGTTCTCTCTGAGTGTCAGTGCTTGCTTGACGCCTGTGCCTCGCCACTAGCTCGCCTTGCCAGGAGCCGTTGAGAAGCTCCGACGGGTCAATGTTTTTCCTGGGTGTTTTATGCTCTTGTGAAACAGAATCGTCCGTGTCCGTTTCTTTGTATCTCTCGTCATCCATCTGCTTTAATGGAAGACCGGGGGAGGGCGGTGGGAAGATGGACGATCTGTCACTGTCGTGCCGCAAGTGGGTACGAACTAAGCCACTCAGGCCCAAGCCAGACGGTCCCAAGGTGGGCGAATCAGGCTTCTCAGGAACGGCTTTACCGTCATGGGTGGTCTTTTCAGCAATATCGTTTTCGGCAATGGGTTTCAAATCACCCAGGTCCGAAAGCCGCACTTCAGGCAAGGGGCTTTGTTCTTCTTGTGCTCCTTCACTTGTGGGTGTAGATGGCTTTTGTGGCGTTTCGGACCGAAGCGCAGGATGCACAAAATCATCTGCTATTACTCCATTGGCCAGCTCAAGCACAGCCTCGGCCTCTTCATCTTCAGAATCACTGGGGCTCATGTTGGCGAAGAAAGTACCGTTGATGTTTCGGCGAGGGGATTCATAGACACTCGTGGCAGCGGATCGACTACCTGGGCGCTGGGCTTCGCTATAGTGTGAGGTTGCAGAACCAGCTCGTGGCCGGTAGCTTTTGTTCGAGAGACCTCTGGGACGTCCAGTACTTTCCTGGGAAATAGTCCGTCCGGGAAGTGAAGGTCGCGACAATGGCGGCGTGCTCCGTCCCTCGTGCATCTGAAGTTGGCGTTGACTAAACTGACTTTCATCGTATTGAGTTCTAGGTTTGTTGAACAGTCCGAGAGCTGTGGCTTTGCCGAGATCTTCCGGCTGTAGAGCGGCCATCAATGGGGCACCTTCCTCACGTTCACTGACTGGGGGGCTTAGCGGAGGGAGCCCACCATGAGGAGCTTCATGGGGCCTCTGTTCTTGGGCATTAGTTTCGCCCTGTTGCTGTGTAGGCGATGTGGACGACGGTGCCGGGCTGATAGGGCGGCGTGTGGCAATTGCCGGCTCAGCTAGCGGAAGTCTTTGTATTCTATCGCGCAGGCTAGTGGCACTTCTGGAATAACTCCTGTTGAGGCGAGGCATTTCCGGAGTCCCTGCTCGTTGACGGGTAAGACTCTCCAGACGATGCAGTGTAGAATTTTGTTGGTTTTGAACGGACTGCGCTAGACCCTGGCCGTATAGGCGCCGTGATTTAACAGAGCCTCGCTCAGGAGCCATCGCAGGTACGGATGGTTTAGAGAATGGAGCCAAGCTCTCCTGGGATGGCGGTCCTGTGAAAGACTGCTCGTCGATGGAACTAGCTGCTGTTGATGCACGGCCATTCGCGATTGGGCCTGAGGCAGTTGAGGAAAACGTAGTTCTCTTAGCGGAAGAAATGCTAGACAGAGCGTCTTCGGACTCCGCGGCAGAAGTATCTTGGTGGGCTTCCTCGGCTGCAGCACGTTCTTCCTTCTCTTTTAGCCTGAGCCGTTGAAAAGCGGACAAGGACAAATCATGGTCATAGACCGCGCGGCCTCCCATTTGTCCAGCATCCGCTGCGACAGATACATTCGATGATGCCTTGGCGGGAATCTTATAGACCTTTTGGCGTCCACCAAACAAATTGTTACCTTCCGCCCGGCGGGCTCTACTCATAATGCTTTCTTTCTGTGAGCGGTCGTCGTCGGTACCATAACCATCGTTCGCCGAGACGAATGAGTCACGGCTGAGGTTGAAAGACGGCCGACTACCATCTGTAGATACCTCATCGATATCTGTGAGCAGGTTTGGATTGTGGCCGAAGAGATTCAATCGGGAGGCGCGCTTAGGAAACAAGACACTATCATCACTGGCCTTGCCGATAATCGAGGCCGGGTCGTCTTGTTCCCTCAACATGCTAAACCGCGCCGATAATTTGGGCATGAGTAAGCTCGTACGGAAGTCATCGTTAGACGGTAAGGCATTCGATAGGTCGAGTGCGGGCACTTCCTCGGGCTCATCCTTCTTGCTTCGCTTGGACAGCTTGGAGGTGAGCAAATTGTGGGTGTTCTCGATAGCTTCCGTATCCTCCTTCGTCTTCTCCTTCTTAGCCTTGCGGAATCGATTCATGGTGATGTTCGTTAAGGGAACAATGCGAAACTAAGGGCAATTCGAGGCTGATGATATAGGCAGTGGCATAGACGGTCGACCAAATGTAGTCTCGATATTTCTTGAATTGCCACGTAAAGGGGCTACGGATCAGATGGATGCATGTATTCCGGTGATACTAGGTCAATCTTACGAGTCAGAATCGTATGTCACTGGCAGCTATGGGCCGTCGCCACAAGAGGTCTGCATGAATCGATCAATCAGATTCGGCGACTTACTGATAAAGGCCGAAACAAGAGTGGTCCGAACGTTCACAAACGGGCAGCGACAAACGAGTGGCTTTATGATGTAGATCAATCCACCAGATAGAACGAGTGGGAGTATCAGAGCGTTCGAATCATGGGCTCATCCCCTAGAGTTGACGGAGCTGCTCCGCAGAGCGCCAAGGAATCGCGGCGTGATTCGACGACGAAGTGTCGATAATAGGCGTGACTTGCAGATTGACAAGGAATTGATCAAAAGTGCGAGAAGCTGGCCTTAAGATAACTGATAATACCGGTGGGGTTGGAGACACCAACTGTCTGCATGAAATGGTGGAATGTGGCTGCGGTATAGACAAGCGGGCGCGGAATGCCAAAAATGGATCTGAGTTGAAATCTAGTGGCGGAAGAACGAAAGACTCGCCGTTGCTGAGAATGAATGGCTGGGTATTTAGAGAGCGAAACCACCAACTAAGGTGTTGAAGAGAATGTTGAACAAACCAGAGGAACCAGGTGTAGAAAACGAAGGACGGCGTGGCCTCGAAAAAGAGGAAGTAAAAAGCGACGCGAGAGGAAAGAAAAATAAACCTAATGAATGGATTGGAAAGAAGGGATCTGGATTCGATCGTCGGGGGAGTGTCTCTGTTCTTTTTTTTTAATTTTCAATTTTTATTTTTCATTTTCTTTTCTCTTTTCTCTTTTTTTCTTTTTCTTTTTTTTTTTAATTAGGACAAGGACATGAGCTGTACGGAGGACAGCTGAGTCGGGAATTGGTGCCTTAGACCAGTCCCAGTGGATTGTTACTAACTAGTAACTTACTCCGTACGTACTGACTTACTCAGAGGAACAGTCCAGAGCGGATGAAGTGGTTCGAATTATTGGACCCAATGGAGCCGCCGGTACAGTCTTGAAAGACGATCGACACTTTTAATTCTGATGATATTTAATTAATGTCACTATTAATGGCCGGGAGGCTCCTGTCTGGTTTCGAATGACTATTTAGCGAGGAATCCATACACCAATGAAGAAAAAAAAAAAGAAGGGATATAATCGAGAACTGACGGCCAACTTCGATACATCGACATTCAGAAGATGGTGAGAGGATTTCGCTTTAACCCCTCTCGAGTATAGTCAAGGAATAATCATCATCATAATAATAATACTGAGAAATAATAAACTGTCACAGAAACCATGGTTGTCTTTCGGTTACCGTACGGTACCTCGGACCCAGTGCCCCTTGCAGGCCCCACTCGCATGAACCACGAATCGGATCCAGCAGTAGGGACCAGGATCATTTCGGGTACCATACTGTACTAGTACTACCACTACGAGTAGTCCTTAGTAGTTGGCTCGGGATGGCTACTAAGGGAGTCCTGGTGACACAACTTAAGCCTAGGACAAGCCCTGGTTTGATATATACTTACTCCTGTGCATTCACCCGTAGTAGTCTTAAGTGCCTATACTGACTCCTGAGTCGCTCCTTTGTTGTGACCTTCCTTCCGAGGCGTTCGACTCGTCCTCAAGTCCAGCGAACTACAATGCGCGTGCCTTCCATCTGGTCGTGTGGGTAGGAGTTTGATCTCTCGTATAACGGGATGTGGATCGATCTGGGCTGAGGTCTGAGCCACAAGATGCCGTTGGCGTTCACAGAACCATGGAATCGGTTTGTATAGGGCACTTCCAAGGCGGAGAGTGGTGAAAACGGGGATACTCGCTTACGGTCGATCATATACAATCCCCTTTCAAGGGAGGACGTTAGAGAGTCCTACAAAGAAAGGAGGTGCAACGGATATCCATACTGGAGTCGATCAGCTGAGTTCTAGCGAGATCACTCTCAATGGTTTCAATAATTGTGACCTGTCGCCTAGATGGTACGCTCCTAGCGCTAGATGAGTTCCGGAAATTTGGACGAGCGGGGGCGATCATCTCATTGCCGTGTCTCATCGTTACTTGATTGATGTTAGAATCGAAGCCTGGCTAATGCATGGGTTCGTTCTTTTCTCCATAGCTAAATCAATCTTGCAAGCCTTGTTGTGCTTGCGATCAAGTTTTGTGTGCTTGGGTAATGAAAGACGTCATCTTGACATATACACTTTCTTTTTTTTTTTCCCTATTATCCTTATTTTGTATTTCCGAGTAGTATTAGTACTAGTATGGGGTACATTGGAGGCGGGAACTTAATTGGAGAGTCAGGGTATATCGGAGCACCTTCTTTGTTTTGATAGCGTGTAAGCGCAATACCTACAGAAATACCCGGCGTTAATCTCCGGTTCACGATCCTGGACGATAGGAGATTATGCGAGCAGTTAAAGCTAAAGGGCCGGGAATCTCGGGGCTTGCACCGAGTAGGAACTATCCATACTATAGAGGATTCGACCAGGTCCGAGGTTCGCGACAATGGCTCTTCAAGCTGAAAGATATTGTTGTTTGTGTGCCAGCTCTTTCCGGTAAATCCAAAACAAATATAGAAAGGGTCACTGATGTACGGGAAAGTCAATAATGTCCCAGTGCTACAAGCCTAGTCGCGCACAGCCATGAAAGGGTTTTATCTAAAAGCCCTTGAAGACGGCAATTTTCCCAAATCGAGTCGAGAAGTCCACCAGGCTCCACGAAGCCAAGAGGCGTTGTTGCATATTACAGGCGAGAGCCCTAGAGTCATCGACAAGCCACATCGACAGAAAAGATTGGAAAGTATTAGACAGCCAAGAGAGACTGAGTCAGCGAAAATCAAACACAAGAGAAAAAGAAAATTAAAAAGAAGAGGGGAAAAAAATGGAGTTTGACCCGTACGTACCTGACTGGTGGGCCAGGACATTGTTGGCAGGGGCAGAGGCATTCTTCGCTAACCAAGCCTTGACTAGCACCACTTTTAGGCACTAGTGACAGGAAACAGTCACAACAGTCACTCTGCTGGAGCCTGGAATAACTGGCAGCCGTTGAGATTACCTAAAGAGAATTAGCCGCGATAACTAACTCAACCCTCATCACACAAGATTTGGAGTCCTCTGTCCTGTTCAATGTCAGACAGACACCCTTTCCAGCTATCGTAGCATCGACCAACAGCCGGGTAACCTCAAGCAGGTGTCATACTGGTTTGAATCGTACTACCTCGATAACACGGCCCCTCCGCTTATCTGAGGGGTGATTTGTGGGCAATGCAGAATCAACATGCAGCTAAGACGATTAGCTCAACCGCGCGCACTGCCTGGCATTTGAAATCATGGATACCGTTTCACTCTGTCCACCTAATAATACATATGTTATACAGCCACTCTCGACTCTGTAGTATTGTCATACACCATTGGCCAATGCGTGTCTCACTGCTTCTTTGCTTTTTCCTTTTCCCCGGGAAGTTTCGTCAGCTTTCATGCCGTAGAGCTAATTTACGTGGAAAATGATATGCCCAGCCGGATAAGCATAATACAGTAGATCCAAGTAGGAGCCTCTCTATTTTTATACACGATTAATCTATCTCGTTGGGGGAGCTCATCTCTAGTCGATAGTCGTAGGCGAGACTTGCCTAGTCTGACAAGACGACCGTCCGCTCATACAAACTAGGATCGATCAAGCTGTTTAGAGATATGAAACACGACACATTTTTCTCAAATCTTTGGCCTTCGGTCAACCTCATTCTCCCGCCTCTAATACTCTAGTCGACCATATCATCGGTATCTACGTCGGAACTAAGATGGATACTAATTTCAAATGCCTCCACTAAGATACTGGGGAAGATTATGCGAAATTAGGCAAGGTCGCCATGGCCATACACAAGAGTTCCTAAAGCCAAAGCTACTCAACTTGATGTCCATCTGACGGGAGAATACGTACCCCTCAAGCCGACCGCATCTACTTATGTCATGCCATTTCCCGCCCCTGACCAACAGAACCCATGCGCATTCCATTGGACTGACACAATCAGATAGCAGAATTCTCGTTTATTCCAACCATTCTTGACTGAGGCTTGTCACCACCACAGCAGTCACGGGATGCTTTCCGGAATGTTTTCGGTGGCTGGATGTAACAGCAGATGCAGCCCATCCCTGTCTGTGTAGCGGGACGGGTCTTGATTCCCGAGCCCTACCAGGATAATAGGCGTCTGGTAGGCGCAATATGAGAGATTCACATGGATCGGACCGATGTCAAGGCAGCATAAACAAACAAACAAACAAATACTTAATATGATCGACTTATGATGGTGCCATTGATGTCTCACGTGCTCGGGATATAGATATTCGGTTGGGGTTATCGGGTCATGCATTGTTTCATCCTGCTTCACCCGGCACCCATGGTAGTGTTTATGCATATCGCGCCTCCCCTGTGGCTCGGGACGGAACTGTCAAAGATCATGGTGGAGCTCGCTGCATGAGTGTCATGTATCCTTGAAAGCCATTGTCTTGAAAAGAGGGGAAGGAAGTAACAGTAAGCAAACAGATGTAGTTAAGTGACATCCTCGCAAGATTAATCTCTCAACACGCATTGTTGAACCAGTCATGACAGCGATATAATTAGAAAGGTATGTTCCGTATCAAAAGTACGAATGCCGACTAAACCTAGTCATGGATAGCCTCGGGTTGTCACGGAGCGCCCAACAGTTCTGGCTCTGTTCTTTTGGCCCTATCCCAAGCTTACCGCCTCTTCACCTTTAGATCGTGTTCGGACTCCAGATTATAAACCAAAGCCTTATCACCACGGGGCCGTCATCGAGAACGTGCATCTGAAATAGACGGTGAGGGCCGTGAGGTTATATACTACAGTACCTACATATATTTTTAGTGCAATACAGCACAGGAGCGATGATTGCGTGGGGTTGCATCCCCTCGTCCCATGTACTTAGCACGCTCTTAAGAATTTAGCTTATACATACCGCCTCGATAAAATGCAGTTCTGCTGCACCAGGTGGATATATCCTTGTCCTTGGCACTGGCAGTTATTATATACCGTACGAATAGTCAAAGGTGTCCGTATCCAGAGTTCTCGAAGTTCACCTCCAGGGCTCATGTGCCGACCTATCCAATGAACTCGGCCAATACAAGTTCAATCCCCCCAAAAACACACTAAAAGCCCCCGTTCCTTTCGCGGACCAAATTTCTGTTGTGGATGCCCCTGACTAGACTCGAAGGGGTCAAGGTAGCCCGTGAAAAACCACTGGATAGCCCTAAAACGGGTGCCCGTATTACCTCACTCAATACATACAATACCAAGCCGTAACTTCTCTCTCTCTCAGGTCAGCCACGAACAACCCCGGTCAATAGCACCCACGTCCTAAGCAGCACCAAGATCGAGACGGGAGCATCGCAGATAGAAACTCAAGATCGGAGTGCGAGAGGGGGGGAAGAGGATCCATATCACCACCCTTCAAACCTTCCATTAATTAAATCGAAAAATATAACATAAAAATAAACAATCGACAATTGACAATCGCCGACATTCGCTAAGAATCGACAAGATTCCAGAAATCACATTTTAATCTATTTCGCTCCTCCCAAGACCAACGGAATAAGTAGACTACAAAGTTTAATGAGCAAATACAATAAAAAAAATTAAAATAAGAAGTCTAGAACTCTAGCCAAATTTCTTTTCCTCCCCCGCCCATAAGCAAAATGCGCGATGGACTGACTTATCCCCCACTCGGCGACAAAATCAGATCAATATTCGACGGTGAGATCAAACTTTGGATGTGCGGTCCTGTTTTCCCCGGTCAATAACCGAAACTCGGTGTTTCAGATTAGGTGATTGTGGGATACGAGAGATCAATAATTAAACCTGGTTGTTAAGTATTTTTATTTTATTTATTTTATTTTATATCATATTTTTGTTTTGCCCTTTCTTTGATTGTGTGAGGGCTTTGGGTTGTCCTTTTTTTTTTCGGGGCAAGGTTTTAACAAGAACAAGGCTTTTGTTTGGAAAGTTAAAACTCGGAGCAAAGGGTAGTGAACTATTGGGAAAATACCCCGGAGTAGAACTCTGATTCATGAGTAAGAGTGAAGAGAGGTGGAATCGTCAAGGGATAGGCAGCAATAAGTTTCACCTGAATTGACGCGGGGAGACACAGACAAATGTATGGGGGGCATCAGGAGGTCAATCAATATTGACTGATTGACTGACAATCCATTTTGATTTATCCATCCCTTGGGGACTGAGACATTGCGTCCTCGATACCTGAGGCATTCATCTTGAAATGACGACATCATTATTAATGCATCTACAATACCTGAGGCACCACAGTGGTGCCCCTCACTATCATAAACACCTCGCAATATTATCCTAAATAGCTTGAAGATATTATTGTACCAAACGACAGAAATACGAATAAACCTACAATGCAAGTCCTTCTCCTAGGCGGCCACGGCAAAATTGCCCTCCATTTAACCCCACTTCTTCTCAACCGTGGCTGGAATGTCACCAGCGTGATCCGCAATCCAGACCATGAGAATGAGATTCTCGCGCGCGGCAAAGGCACCAAGGGCAAATTGAACGTCCTCCTGTCCAGTCTGGACGACATCAAGAGTGACGAAGACGCAAAGAAGATCATCGATACTGTGTCTCCAGATTACGTAGTATGGTCAGCCGGTATGTGAAAGATAGTATTCAACCTACCCCGCTTGATGTGCTCCAATGCCATCCATGGAATAAGCGTGAATCTATTACCTACAAGTTCGAAGCTAATGTGCAAACAAAAAGGCGCCGGCGGTAAAGGTGGCCCCGAACGGACGTTTGCCATCGACGAACGCGCCGCCAAGCACTTCATCTCTGCATCGTTTGCTTCCCCTCGTGTGACTAAGTTCCTCTTGGTCTCCTGGCTTGGCAGTCGGCGGGTCCGGCCTAGCTGGATGTCTGATGAGGGCTGGGAGGCTATTCAGAACGTATTCTACAATGTCCTCCCCGCGTATGCGAAGGCTAAGCTGGAGGCGGACGAGTACCTGACTGCGTTTGCGGCTCGGCGTAAGCAGAGCCAGTCCTCGCCCTTCCAGGCCATTTGTCTACGCCCAGGCACTCTGACTGATGAACCGGCCACCGGGAAGGTGCAGTTTGGTAAGACAGAAGGGCGAGGTAATGTGACTAGGGAGGATGTGGCAATTGTGGCGGATCGGCTACTTGCTCGTTCTGATACAAACGGTTGGTATGATTTGATCAACGGTGACGAGCCGATTGATGACGCGGTGGAACGGGCAGTTAGGGAGAAGGTGGATGTCGTCGAAGGGGAGGACGTGGATGCGATGGTGAAGCGGTTTTTCCCGTAAAGCAACATGCATAATACTACTAATGGATGACCGTGTCCGTTTCTGACATCCAACTGCTAGTATGATTGACAATACATGCAAGATACCCTACTTTCATCAGGATTTCAGCTCATATCAAGTGAGTCTAATGATTCCTTGGGCACTGACTATATACGAGACATGTATGGATTGGTATCTACATAATAACCAGACGTTCCACGACTGGATCTATTCTAATTACAGCTTGGCTTTAGGTGCCGCTGCCTCCTCCTTGGCTTGTTTCTTGAGAACCCTCCGCAAAATCTTTCCGCTCACGCTCTTAGGGATTGCGTCTACAAAGCGTACTCCGCCACGCAGTCGCTTGTGGTACGCGACCTTGCCATCCAGCCATTTGATAATGTTGGCTGCCTCTTGTTCTGCGCTGGCACCTGAAGATTTACTCGTCGCACTCCGCACGATATAAGCGAGCGGAACCTCAGTGCCGTGAGCCTCACTTTCGATACCGATAACAGCGACATCGTCGATTGCCTCGTGGTCTACAAGGATACCTTCCAGCTCTGCTGGAGCAACCTGGAAGCCCTTGTACTTGATGAGCTCCTTGACACGGTCCGTAATGTAGAAGTTTCCGTTCTTATCTTGGTAGCCGACGTCTCCGGTGCGGAACCATCCATCGGTAAGACATTCGGCGGTTGCAGCTGGGTTGTTGTGGTACCCTTGGAAGACATTGGGGCCCTTCATGTACAGCTCGCCTACCTCGCCTGCTGATACCTCGCGAGGCTCCGACCCATCCTCAGGCATGGTCATGTATTTGGCCTCCATGTTCGGCAACATTTTGCCGACCGATCCGATGCTTGTGCGCCATTCCTCCCAGGGCTGGGTGTGAGTAGTAGGGCTGGTCTCGCTGAGGCCGTAGCCTTGCTTGATACCACATTTAATCCGTGCATACACGGCCTCCACAAGCTCGTGCGTGAGCGGGGCAGCACCCGAGTTCATCATGCGGAGGCTGGAGAGGTCATACTTGTCGACTACAGGGTGTTTGCTCAATAACAAAACGACCGGGGGCACGACGTAGGAAAACGTGATGCGGTAGTTCTGAACATGGGCACACCATTTTTCAATATCGAATCTCTCCATCACCACAAGTTTGTAACCTTGGTACAATGTCTGGTGCACAAGACAGGTCAAGCCTAGCAAGTCCGTCAGCATCTTCAGAGAAATATATATCCGATCAGCAACCGAACCTACCGTAGATATGGAAGAATGGCAGAAACGCCAGTACTCGGTCTCCTTTGCCGTCAGCGCCACCATTCCAAGTCAGATGGCCAGCCTCTCCAGCAGCCAGCTGAAGAGAGTTGGCGACGATATTCCTATGGGAAAGCCTGACACCCTTAGGAACACCAGTGGTACCCGAAGAATAAACCAAGAATGACAGGTCCTTATCCGGATTGATCTTGGTTTTGCGATACCTGGTTGCCCCCGAAATGTTTCTGATGGACGTAAAATGTTTGAACCTTGCTTCTGGGTCGCGCTTATCTCCGATGAGGATGATGCGGTCCTCGGGGATGTTGACTTTCTTGGCGGCCTCTCTTACTACCGATAGCTGGGGAACCTGCGTAATTACAGCTTTCGCCCCTGAGTTCTTCAGCTGGAAAGCCAGCTCCTCGGCTGTGTAGGCTGGATTGGCCGGGGATACGACGCCTCCAGCCCAATGAGCTCCCCACATCACCACAGGGGTGTCAATGCTGTTCGGGGTGAATAACGCCAAAACATCCCCTTTACGCCAGTCGTAGACGGCCTTCAGCCCTTGACCAAAGGCAAGTGCTGCATCTTTCAAGGTTTTGTAGGTGTAAAATCGTTGTGTATCAGCATCCTGGTAAATGACTGGCGAGATACGTTAGCTTCCGAATTCAAGGCAAGTAAGGCGCTGGCTGAGGAGGCCAAAAATGACCACAAAAAGGGCGGACATACTGTTGTCATCTGGAAAGGTCCTATCCTTGCGTTCGAATAGAAATGTCCAAAGGTCGACATTGGGGATGTCAACTGGCGGATACTGTGAGGAGACCGGCATGATAACGGTGCGGGGAAATCTGGGGTTCGGCGCCGGGAGTAATGAGGAGAATGATTTCGTACAAAGCTAGGGACTTGGCAGGAGAGGAGGTACAGCTAGGAAGGAGAGGGAAATGGAAAAGAGGAAGTTCACGAAGGGGTAGACTAATAAAAATAATAAGAGGCAAGGAATGACAACGATGGGACGGGTCTCGTACTCGGCCCTCGGCTTGGACAGTGATAAGGAAGGAATTGCCGTCCGCATACCTTCGGATGTAGACCCGACTAAACCTTAAATCCACTTTAGGACAATTGGCTACATCGGACAAACAGGCACAATCCGCCTAAAGTACCTCAAGTTCGGCGACCGAACAGATCTTAGGAGCACTACTTAAGCATTAATAGAACAACTGACTCTGCTCCGTATCCCTGCATGTACAGCTCGCGTTCTAGTGCTGAAGCAACAGAGAGAGAGGCACTCTCTGGAAATGATATCAGAGCGGACCGTGCAGCTTGGGCCGCATTCAGCATGCAAAAAAAAAGTATATGAGTTGGAGCGTTTTAGGAAGTGTCCAAATATTCTTAGCATTGAAGTTTAAAAGGATAGACAAAAAAAAAAAAGTAATTTAATT